GAGTATACTACCAGCAATCTCTAATACAATCTACAAAAAGAATAACATTTGTGAGGGGGATTTCCTACATTTGTGGTTAAATGTATTTGCAGGAAGCAATTTATTACTAACATAGAACTTATACAAAAACATAAAACAAAATTAAACCAATCATACAGTAGAGTGGGCAAATATTTACCTTGATGAATTGTTCACTAGGTGCTGTAGCATTGTATGATACTTCACTGATAATCAAATTCAATAGTATAACTGCTTGATTGGAAGGAATGTCATTCTGAATCAGTTCAAGTAATCCTTGAAGAGCATAAAGTGGTGATGCATTTATCTAGCATTTGAAATATCAAAATGCATCTATATTTAGTGTAGTGTAGTTACCCTTAATAGTATAGTATTGAATGATTCTGTAGTATAACAAAGTGTTTCATTCCATTTACCATCAGAACCACAGTATCTACTAGCTAGAGGAAAGAAGCATACATGAGCCTTGACACAGTTGTACTTGTTATCACTGACCATTAAATATTCCTTGGTAGCATGTGCCATGTACTATTACTCCAGCTTTTGTCTCTGGCCATTGATCCTCCTCAGGACATTGTGAAGATGGAGAAGGAGTTGGAGAAATCATCAAAGATGAAGTTAACATCATGTCAGAAAATGAAGAAGACAATAATGAGAGTGATGGCTGCATGGAAGATGTCTGAGAAAATTCTGAGGAATCAGAAAATGATACTGAGGGAGTGGGAAATGGTGTTGCTGAGGGAGTGGGAAATGGTGTTGCTGAGGGAGTGGGAGATGGTGTGGTCATTGAAGCAATCATGAAAGATGATGTTGTCGTGTGTAATGCCAAAGAAGTTGGCAATTCCAAAGATGAAAATAATGTATTTGAAGAGGAAACTGCTGGAGAAGGTAAACAGCATTCTGAAGAGTTTGAGCAATATGGTCCAGTTGAGTTACATGATCCAGAGCCGGCTGATACTAGAATGCCATTACTACTATCAAACTCAATCCGAGTGCTTGATAATCTTCTTAAAACTTTAGTACATTTAGAAACTGTCAAGGGACTAGTAACATCATTTTCAATTGTCACAGAACTAATTACTGGAAAACAAAACATACTGCTTTGGTTACAATCAATCCAGTGAAAGTTCAAGTTTGTCGGTCTTGAATAATCAACTTTAATACTGTATTGTGTATCTATACCAGGTTCAGAACCTATGAAATAATTACTAAAGCATACTAATAGTTATATTTTACTACCATACCATTGTAGGTCATTAAATAGTTGAAGTCTCCTCCAAGTGTTTCTACCCACAGAGTTACAATTGGATCTCCAACAACACAGTCTGCATTTGTCTGGAGATTAAATTTCAGTGTAGCAGGGTCTGAGCTACCCTCGGCAAAAAGAAGAAAGAAAAATAGTAAATCTACAATCAAGTAGGCCAACATTTCTCGAATCATACCACCGAAGCTGCAGCTAACTATTCTAACATAGGTTGAGTAACCACAATTGGTTTATAAACAAATCTAGACTGCCACACACTCTTTGAACTCTATGGTTTCCACCACACCCATGTGGATACTAGACTAGACTGTACATAGACTAGAGTAATGTTTGTTTAGATAAGGGTTGTATAAAATAGCAGGATTGTATAAACTGTCTGGAAGTGACGTTCGTTTGTGTTTAAATCTCTTCCTGGGCCACTATGGTATTGTTTTAGTCTAGAACAGCTGATGCCTGGGTTAGTTGTTATTATTATGGCTGACCACAGACTAGACCACATCATCACGACACAGCAACAATTAAATTAAATTCCATGATTCTCCACCTTGTTTTGACACTGATTAAAACCTAAAAGTGCAAACAGTTTTTGAATAATTAACACTTTAAGCGCAAGCTAAGTGTTAGCAGCAAAAATATTAAACTGACGCCAAGCATATGACTATCTAGCATAGAACTAAGAGAGGCCTACAATGTTTGCATGTACGTATCTATTCATTGCAGCAGTGATCCGTGTACATCATCAATGGCTTCAGTTTGCATGCCACTTTTCTAAATAAACTAGCCACAGCCTATGCCCATTGCTGTAGTAAGACAATTAAATTAGTCGTTATTAGTCTATGGCTTCAGGATACTACTGACAGCATATTATAGTGGGCCATTATGTATTAGCTACAATCAGTCTAGCCGTTGGCTATGTGGTCTTCTCTACTCCTCCTGTCTTCTCTTCTTGTAGTGAATGTCAGTGGTACAGCACCTAATGCCTTCTTATTATTCACTGTTTCTACAAATGAATTTTGTGTTGGAGTTCCTGTCATAAATCTGTGGATGGATTTTGCCATAGCTAATTCCTCTTGCACAACATACAACAGTAAGTTACATGTATCCATTATATCATCCTAAGACATTTTGTACAGGTTCCACTGTTGCTAATGCACCACAGTTTTATCCATTACCATTTCATATCGCTGAAAATGACAGTGTAACACTCCATTGGATAGATTTATTTCCCTTTGATTTTTGTATGACATCAGTTAATGCATCAATCGAATATCGTATGTTTAATGAGTCAGTGCCTTTCTGTCCTGAAAAATATGATGGTTATGTGTTATCTAGTCCTGAGACAATACTAAATCAAACAATAATGTTCAGTCCTTTGAATTCAAGTGTCTGTGATGAAAGGGTAATATCCATTCCTTCATCATGTGGTGGTAGGCTGACAAGTTTAGCAACAAGTTTTTCCACAGCCGCTTCATCAAATGCTGTTGTTGTTGTTCATTCGTCAGCTAATCTTCACTTTACTGTATTTGAGACATCATCTCTTAACCTTCAGACCTCATCTGTTCACATTCAGACTTCAGCTCTTAATTCTACTGCTGTGTCTACAGTCATTTTATCTTCTAGTGCTCACTTTACTGCCTTTCAAACTTCATCTGCTCACTCAACAGCTGTGTCTACAGTCATTTTATCTTCTAGTGCTCACTTTACTGCCTTTCAAACTTCATCTGTTCACTCAACAGTCGTGTCTACAGCCATTCATTCTTCCTTTCAATCTTCTTCCTTTCACTCTACTGCTATCCACTCTTCAACATCTTTTGCCACTACAATAATGCCAACTAGTACACCTCAAAGTATGTATATACATGCATTGTTTTTGTCTTTTAAATTATATTTATTTGTAGATAATTATTGCTCTCCTCGAACTGATGTTAATGAGCGTGGTCAGTTTGATTGGCCGCTAACACTAGCTGGAATGACTGTTACCATATTGTGTCCTAGTGGCCCTATTGGAGCTACAGCAAGTAGACTATGTTCTACTTCTTCTGATTGGGAATCACCAGATGTGATGAGGTGTGCTACTACTGATGTTACAAATGGATTCATTGAATTATCTAAAGTATGATAATTAATAAATGCAAATACTCTTGTATTCATATGTAGGTAAACATCACAATATTCAATACTGATTTGGTTTCTGAAAATATGAGTATTCTAGTAGAAAATGCATCAATAAATTTTGCTGATCAAAACAAAAATAATATTTTAATCATAGCAAATGTAATAGAAGACATAGCAAATGTTTTTATGAGCCAAATACAAATAGCCACTCAGTCATTGTTTAATAAGGTAAGGGAGTATAATTTAGATCTATTATAGTTATTATCATTAAATCTATTATAGACTGTTAATTCTATAATTCAAACTAATGATTTGATTGAAGAATGGCCATTTGAAGTCCTTGAGCTATCATCCAATGAGTGAGATAGTAATACATTACTATATCAACTGATGCATACTTTGTATACTAACAGTATCATACAGTCGTTTGATGAATTTGTAAGAATTGGAATTAATTTGGAAAACTACACTAGCAGCATATCAGTGACTGCAGAAGATATTGTCTTTAGAGTAGAAAGTGTATGTTAGACTACATGCCAATGACTAATACTATTATAATCAATTTACAGTTTGAAAGATCTAATTTCAATCGACTAACAATATCTGGTTTTGCCTTCA